GACGATGAAGAGTTCGAGGGATGGCTCAGAAGGATCGGACTCCTTGCTACACCCAGATGTCCGACTTGTCACCATCCAATAAGCCTTTTCCAGCGAGGAAGACCTGGTAATGCCATCGAAGGGATTGCCGATATGGACCGAATGGCGCTACGAAGCCGATAGTACCAGCCTTCCAGAATTCCTTTTTTGCCAAATGTAGGTCCTCTTGCAAAGATCTTTGCGCTATCCTACCTTTGGCTCCATATCTTCGGCATTGTGAAGGACAAGGAGTACGAGCTTGGCATCGGCCACACCGCGACTACTCAATGGGAGCAGTACTTTCGAGACGTGCTGCGAGTATTTCCGGAGAAACCGCCCTGTCCTCGGAGGTTTCGGGAACGTCGTGGAGATAGATGAGACCTGCGTGACTAAGAGAAGTACAACCGCGGACGAGTGGTTCGACGCCACAAGTAGCTCTGCGGCGGCTACGAACGAGGGTGCGGCAGATCCTTCCTGGTATTGGTACGCCAGCGTGACGCCAGGACGCCTCAGGCTGATTGTAAGGTACATTCGGCCTGCCTGGAACTACCATCGTGAGCGACTGCTAGTGTGCCTGTAACGGAATCGCATTTTTGCCACAGGTATACCACTACCTGACTGTGAACTACCAGATGAACTTCGTGGATTTCAACACTGGCGCTACGCAGCACATAGAGAGCCGCTGGCAGAAGTTTAAGAGGATGGCAAAGCAGAAGTGCGGCATCAACAACAGCAGCTACGCGGACTACCTCAAAGAATTTCTTTGGAGGAAGATGTTTGGCAAGCATGAGGAGTCGCTCTACAATTTCTGGAGGCAGGTGGCTGATTTATATCCAGTCTCCTGTTGACAGCCTAACATTGTCTCTATGGCTCTCTTTAGGGCCACCTATGCAAAATGAAGTACGCTGGTGTTTTTTTAAATAAAAGTATTGTTCGTAATGAACATGCAATAACACCCCCTAAGGCAAAGATCGGCGAAGGCGAAGTTAGGCGAATTCTGAGATCCTGACCGCATACCATAATCCTACTGTAACTCTACCATATGACGTCATCAAGAAAAATGGATATGATACTCATGATCAGCATGTCGTATATGCCCCATGTGCAAAGTTTCAGCGAGAACCGTGATCCTGACCCCAAACCATAATATTACCGTAGCCTTTCCATATGGGGTTTTTGCGGAATGAATATGGTATTCGTGTTTAGCTTGTCGTGTAACCCCCTGTGCAAAGTTTCAGCAAATTTTGAGATTTGCCCCCACACCGTATGCCCTACTGTAACCCCTTAAAAAAGCCTCACCAAGCAAAATAAATAACGTCGTCTCCCCAGAGTGCGTTGGCCGGGGCCTGGGGCGCTGCTGCGGACTTCCCTCGCAC